TGGCCTGGCCCGCAGGGCCGCGGGGGCGGCGAGTCGGCCCCGGAAGAGCAGTCGGAGGAGGCGGCGTGCGTGCTGGCGCCGTTGCTATAGGGGAAATGGTCCTCCTCGTCTTCGTCATCCTCCTCTTCGGGGTCACTGTCCCTCAAGTCCCGCAGGCGGCGTCCACCGCCCTTGTCCCCGGGTGCCGGCGGCCCCAGCAGCTCCTCGTCCCCCTGGTCTTCGGCGCCGCCGCCTTTGCCCGCGCCCCCGCCGCCCTTCTGTTTCTCGGCCTCCTGCGCCGCCTGCTCTTTGGCCTTTTTGCTGCGCTTCCACTTCATCCTCCGGTTCTGGAACCAGATCTTCACCTGCAGGCACAGGAGGCATGAGAAACAGGCCACCGCCACCCTCGCCCTGAGTCCCTGGGCTCCTGCACCTGCACCCCGCCAGTGGGCTCGCCTCCCTCACCAGGCCCGGGAGCGGGGACCAGGGGGGTGGCGCTCCCACCCCGGGCATCGGCAAAATCCACAGTTGAGTCCGGGGCTCCAAGGAAGCGCCAATTACGATCCCAACCCCCCCCCCAGCGGGTGTCTTCTCCCCGCGCCCCCGGTCCGGTCCGCATAGAAAGGGCCAGGGCAGCTAGGGTACACGTCTATAAATTTCAAGATGTTCCCTCCTCTCTTTCTGGAAGGAAATTTCTCTAATGTAGCCTGGGGACGACCTGCTTCAGAATGGGGTGGGGAGGGTGAAATTCCTGGGCCCACCTGAACCTACTTCTGAGGGCCAGTATAGGCATTTGGCAGAGGCAGGGATGGGGGCTTGGGCCGGGGTGGGGGTGGGGGTATGAACTCTGGCCCGGATATTAATCCACAGACTGAAGGTCAAACAGGCTCAGCTCCAGTTGCCCCGGAAGCACATGATCTAGAGAGCAGAGGTGACGGTGCCCCTGGGAGGTTCAGGAAGCTGCCCACCTGGGTCTCCGTGAGCATCAGTGAGGTGGCCACCTCGAAGCGCTTGGGCCGGGACAGGTACTTGTTGAGCTTGAACTGGTGCTCCAGCTCCAGCAGCTGCTGGCTGGTGAAGGCCGTGCGTGGCCGGCGACACTTCCCCAAGAGGTTGGACTGTGCCTGGGCTGGGGTGGGAGAGGGGCGTGAGGCTGGCAACCGGGATCGCTGGGCGGCCTACTCCCACCCAGTGCCACCAGCACCCGCAGGCAAGGCTGCCCACTCACAGGCCCTGCAGAGTCGCTGTTATTTTCTTCAACATCAGCACCCTCTCCCCTAAGGAGGCCCTGGGGCCCAGGACCCCCAGGGCCAGCTGGAGCCAGATGCTTGGGGTTAACGGGACCAAATCTTTTTATCTCAGATGGGGCCTGGGAGTCCTGATTAAAGAGACCCTATCACCCAGGATCCCCCTCTCCACCTGGCTGGGCATTGGTAGAAATCGGGGCAATGGGCAAGAAGCAGAGGCCCAGAGACAAACCTCCTCACTCTTCCCTGCCGCCCTCACCTCAGGCCCCAACCCACACGTCCCAGAATCACTTCCCACGTCCTCCTGCCTGGCAAAGACCTGGTGCAGCACCCCTCACACCAGCTCCTCAAGTACCGAGGAAGGAGAAAAAGGAGAAAAGAGGAAGGACAGAAGGAAGGAAAAGGACCGAATCCTGGGCCTAAATGTGTGTTTTCATCAGAGACTCTGCCCTCATTTAGAACGTTTTCCTGACAGCCCCACCCACGGTGCAGAGGGGGCGATCCTAGGGAGCCTGGAAGGCTTTTCAGGACAATTCTCATCACACAAATGAAAGGCCTAGGCACAAGGGGGATCCGGCTTTCCACGCATTCAAGGAGGTCTCTCCGCTTTATTTGCATAATTTCACACGGTTACATCACAGAGAGTTTTATGACCTCAAAACGAGACTTCCCTTGATTTCCCAGGAGCCTGACAAGTGTCAGACAATAAAAGAAAGGAAAGAGAAGAAAAGAGACAAGAGACCAGCTCCGGGCAGGAGAGCTCAGGCTCCCCCGGGACGGGCAATTTGCTTTATGGGAAGGCCCACGCCCCCCGCTTTAGTTAAACAAGGCCCCGAATTCCCAACTTGACAATACATTAGAACTTTAATTAAAACACTGGCTCCAAAGGGACCATTTGGGAAATGCCATCCAGTGGCTGAGACACCAATTAAAGGAAACCAAGCAGGTTTTCCAGCGACCAGAGGAGGGACTCTCAGGACACGTTCCGGCACCGACGCCGGTTTATTGCTGCCCTTTAGGGTGCGGTGCTCGGCTTCTTTATCTGAACTTAAAACTGGCTGGGTTTTAATTCAGCTACCACTAGGCCGAGATTAGGAGTGAGGGACGGCAAAGTGTGTTGGCGAGGGGATGTGGCTTTAATTGATTTTCTAGCCAACGTTGAGCTCCTTCCCGCCCCAGGGAAACAGCCAGGTGGCCAGGGAACCCAGTGCGCAGGGAGGCCTCTGTGGAGAACACCGCCCCCCATAGTGGGAGACTGTGCGTCCCAGGCTCTGGGAAATCAGGTTATTATGAAAAATCTGTGGGGTGACTTTCCATCAGAAGAGATCAGCTGGGCTCTGAGGCAGGGCCTGGAAGGGTGCCCTGGGTTTGGACGATGCGGGATTCAGATATGCCTGAGGCTGCAGCCCTCAGACTGAGAGGTGAGAGCAAGATTTCCCTCTTCTTTGCAGGAGGGTCAGGAGGGACTATGGAAGGGATGGGTGGCCACTGGGGCCTTCTGGGAGCTGCGCTGGGAAAAGCCTGGGGTGGCTGTGGGCAAACAGCGCACATGCTGGGATTTTCTCACCCGGCTGTGACTTCTGCAGCCTTCTGGGATCCTGGCTTTTCTCTGTTTAGTCACAACCATAGCTTCTAGCAGAGGAATCCGAATTCTGGCAAATGTTTATTTCTGTTTTCTTTTTTGCCTTTTCTCCCTCCCATGCCTGCATCTCCCCAGTCTAAACAAATCCACTCAGACGGAAACAATGGGGTCTCTTTGTTTGGGTGTTCCTCGGCTGAAAGCGTAAAAAGCCTCATGCATCTTTCTCTGAGTGGAGCCCGGGTGGGCAAGCGGACGGACCAGAGAGCCTGACTCTCCCAAGTACCAGTTCTGTGCGGCCGCGTGCCAGGAAAGCCCGAGAGACCCAGGCCTCCACGAGGCACCCAGCCTGGGTGGAGGGAACGCCGCCTGCGGCCCAGAGGCTCTCCCTCCGGCTGGCGGTGGCCAGCCCTCCCGCGCTTCGATCTTGGGGAGAGGTTTGAGCTGTGTTGGACGCCTTGAATTTGGAGGCCGGCACCTGCTGCTTAGAGCCCTGCAAGGGGGTACCTGAAGGAGGGCACACCTCTCGGGCTGCTGGAGCGTGCCAGCTCTCGGTTCAAGTCAGGCCACCCACCCCCTGGGCATCGCACTCCGGACCCAGGGCCCTTCCAGAGGCAGGCAGAACCTCGGGGTCGCCAGAGCCCTTGCCCCGCATCTTTGGGCCTCTTGAAGCTCATTTCTCCTTCGCTACTCCTGGATCTCTCCCTAACCTGGGAGGGCCCGGGGGGGTATCTCCAGAATCCAGAGTGTGGACGGAAGTCAAGTCCGTTTCCCGGAGGATAAACCCCTGGTTTCGGGGGCACCTGATTCGCAGGCCCCCTCATTCACGGTGCTCTTCGGCTCGCCTTCCCCCACCACTTCCTTCACTTCTCGCCCGCCAGTTAATCATTAAATTTTAGTCTCACGCTCCCAGTTGCCCCTTCCCGTTAAAAGAGGGAGAGAAACGAGGCCCGCGCGTGGCCATTGTAATAATTCGCTGGCAATCCCACACGCGCAGCCCGCACGAGTCCTCCCAGGCCCCGGGCAGAGCCGAGGCGGCTTCGCGGCGCTTCCGCAGACCGCTCCGAATAGAGAGCCAGGGCAAGGAGGAGCCAGGTGCAGGAGGATGCGCCGGAGAGCCTTCTGCCAGCGCTCTCCTTCTCCCGTGCCTTCCTCCCTCCCCAGGCCGGGGGCTGCGCGGTACTCACAGTTAAAATCAGGCATCTTGGGCAGGATCATGCCCGCGGTGGACGCACGCAGCCACTGGTCCAGCTGGAAGGTGCTGGCGCCCAGCTTCATGGGGTCGGCGGGGTGCGTGGGGTGCGCGCCCTGCACCTGCGGGTACGAGTAGGAGAGCGCCGGGTGCTGGCCGGCCAGTGCAGCTGCCGCCGCCGCCGCCGAATAGCCGTAGACCGGGTGGCCGTAGAGCGCCGCCTGCGCCGGGAGGCCCGCGCCGCCCTGCGCGCCCCCCGGGTGCAGCCCCAGCGCCAGGCCCCCAGCGGC